CTAATTTCAAATAAAGCTTTGTTTAATTAAATGCTTTTTTAGTTCTCACATCACAGCTTTTATCTACTTACTGAATAATTTGCTGAAAAAAATACTGATCTATACATTTCAAATCTACATTTTCACCGTGCAATGCCGGGTAACTCATATGTATATATATATATAAGAGGGAGGATATATTTGCCTGATGATGCTGGACAAAAAGTGGATTAGTAGTCAGCAAACAAAGTAGCATGCAAATTTATATACACCTGTTTATTTTCATCTATTTAGTTGTGATGTTCATGTTGTCTATATGAAATGGAATCTTTAATTTTCTCTGATTTAATTTAGATGTATTTATTAAATATTGTTTTCTTTTTTGAAATTTAATTCCTATTACCCATCACCAATCTTTAGGTATTGGTGTACCCATCTTACTGGCTTACGTGTATGGAGTAGTTCCTATATCTCTCTGTCGTTCTGGAGGCTGTGGTGTAACAACATCAGCATCTGGAGTGAGAATTGAATTTGATGAAGAAAATGATCTTGGTGTTGCAGCAGGTAAGAAACTTCTTTTGCTTGATGGATCTGGGTTTGATAGATGGCTTATTCCAGTCTCTTAGAAAGCTGTTTGTTTGGCAGTTCTTAGGAAGTAGTTAAACCTAAGTAAAATGGCTTTAGCTTTTAATGGCTCTGAGATGATGAGTGTAGTAAAACCTTAGCTTATGGCACAAGATAACACATTTTTGTACATCATATAGTCTTGCTGTGTAGAGATTTATTTATTTGTTGCAAGCTGTAATGTGAATGTATAATTGAATCCTAAGAAGAAAATATATGTGAAATGTAATTTTCAAAAGGAACTGAATACTTACCAAAGAAATTGTAAACAGTTACTATACATATAGTACCAAATGAACTTGTTTTAAAACATCAGTCTAATCTAAGAATACATTTAAATATTAAAAAGCAAGAAAAAAGACTCGTATATCCAATTCCAGTTGCCAGTAATGTGTGATCACTAAACCAAATGTCAATCAATTGAAGCAGTAGGTGAACCATTTGCTCCAATGTTAGATTTTAATACATGGTTTTAACCCTTTTGCAATAGGCTCAGTATAAAATACGCGAGTTCGTTTACACATTTGCACATGTTAATTATTTATACTATAACTTTTAATGCTGTGTGTATCTTCATAAAATTTGGTAGGCTTTTAGTAATGATTCTAATAAGTATTTTGTACACAAAAAATCAGATTTTTTATTGAAGTATTTTTACTAAAGATTTGTTTTTGAAAATGTCAAGTCCATTTTGTTACTAGTCCGAGTGTGAAGAGATTTTCATGTCATGATTAAAAAAACTATTCTTCATTCCAAAAATCTCAGATATTATTTGTATAATCTCTAAAACCTCCTAAATACATTTCAGGTGTTTATTTTCAATATAACTTTATATTTTGTCTATTATTTTTTTCTACCCTAACTATATGGTCAATTTGACCAACCTTGTAACCACCATAAAAAATTAGGAAATAAATATAAATTATGCTTTTTTCGTTCTAGAATGACTACAAATTATAACACGAAAACACAAATGTTTAGTCTAAATATCTTAAATCTCATAACATTATACATTTATATATATTTATTATACTGACCTTCTAGTCATGCTTGGCTAACAATACAGAAGTTAAGTGGCATGGTGCACGTGCACTCATGTTACCATATCCAATAATATAAAACTGACCTTTAGTCTTTACAAAGTGACCTGTATTGGCTGTGTTTAGGTGTTTTGTAAAATACAGTAACATTTCAATTATTATTATACATTATGTATATATGTATGTATATAGATTATTACTATTTACAAGCAAGTTCTTAAACTTATTTTTCTTAAAACATAGAACAGTAAATGAAGAAGTAAAGCAAACAATTACCTCTTCTTGTTATGACCTTTGTACTCAGTTGCTGCTTGCTGTAAGTTGCTAAGCCTTATAAAATTTTGCACATGGAGGATATGAAATGAAAGTTTTTTAGGTTTTATATATATAAAA